TACAGTGACTCTCCAGCTCTGATGATGATGAAGGAGTGTTAGTGTGAAGACACAGAGTGTTGTATTATTGCACTTTGTCAGCAGCAGATATGAAAAGCAGTTCCGTGTGCCTGGTGTGTGCGTGGCCTGTGGAGACAGTGAGTGTACCGCTGGGGTGGCTGACAGGTTCTGGAGTGTTTGCCTTTTTTAACAGTTTCAGTTCTCCTGTCCTCAGCATGTGGAAGTGCCTTATAAATGTGGGAGTGAGTGTGTGTGTTTTCAGGGTGTGTGTGTGTTTACAATCGACATGTAAACAACAGCGCTGCAAACAAGGCCAGCAGCCAGAGGAGCAGAGAGGGAGAGGAGGAGGAGGAGACTTGTTGACTTTTAAATTTCTTCGCTAAACTAAGTGCAAAGGAAATAGACTCTTAAGGCATGTATAGATTTAACACGACAACCCAATATACAGCAGCCCTGTATACAAAAGCATTATACACTGTACAGTACAAACCAGTTTCTACACAACAACCCAATATACAATCATTCCTGCATACACCAGCCCTGTATACAACAACACTGTGTACAGTACAACACACTTTCTACACAACAACCTAATATACAATCAGTCCTGCATACAGCAACCCTGTATACAACAACACTGTGTACAGTACAACACACTTTCTACACAACAACCCAATATACAATCAGTCCTGCATACAGCAACCTTGTATACAACAACACTGTGTACAGTACAACACACTTTCTACACAACAACCCAATATACAATCAGTCCTGCATACAGCAACCCTGTATACAGCCGCCCTGTTGACGATCGATCCAGCGTGAGCGCTCTCTGAGAGAAGGAAAGTGAAAGAGAAGATTCCTGCAGGACAGGATCAGTCAGAGTGACACGAGACCAAGTTCAGAGGCGCTGTGCTTCCTCAGCCACTCCATTATCTCCATCACTGTCAGACTGGTTCAACTGGCCACCTGCTCTCTGTGTCTCCACACCTCAGCCTGCACACAGTGAGGTCAGGGTAAGAGCACAGTACAGAGCAGCAAAGCCCAGTGAGATCAGGGTAAGAGCACAGTACAGAGCAGTACAGCCCAGTGAGGTCAGGGTAAAAGCACAGTACAGTGCAGTACAGCCCAGTGAGATCAGGGTAAGAGCACAGTACAGAGCAGTACAGCCCGGTGAGATCAGGGTAAAAGCACAGTAGTGCAGTGAAGCCCAGTGAGATCAGGGTAAAAGCACAGTACAGTGCAGTGAAGCCCAGTGAGATCAGAGTAAAAGCACAGTACAGTGCAGCGAAGCCCAGTGAGATCAGGGTAAAAGCACAGTACAGTGCAGCGAAGCCCAGTGAGATCAGGGTAAAAGCACAGTACAGAGCAGCAAAGCCCAGTGAGATCAGGGTAAGAGCACAGTACAGTGCAGTACAGCCCGGTGAGATCAGGGTAGAGGCACAGTACAGTGAGTAAAGCCCAGTGAGATCAGGGTAAAAGCGCAGTACAGTGCAGTAAAGCCAGTGAGGTCAGGGTGTGGGAGGGTGAGCTGAGGCCCAGCCTCGCTGCCTGTGAGCTGGCGCTCGCTGGCCCATTGTTGCACCGGTCACACCTCCCTCTCAGGAATGTCCTGACTGACTGCTGTGTGGCGGATTTCTGCCCGGACAATAGACACTGTTTATTCTGCTCTCAGAATAAAGAGAGAGAGAGGCAGGGAAAGTCTGAGAGAGAGGTCTAGGAAGTCTGAGGGAGACAGAGATAGATTGAGGGAGAGAAGTACCCATCGGTCATGCTAATAAAGCACCTTGAATTGAATTGAATTGAATTGAGAAGGAAAGAGGATCAGAGAGAGGGAGAGGGTGAGGAGCAGGGAGAGAGAGGGAGAGGGTGAGGAGCAGGGAGAGGCCTGAGTGTGGAGAGTCAGGTGTGGCTCTTTGGACCTGGGCGGTGTTTCCAGTCAGTGTTGATCCAGAGGGCTGAGTGAGCAGCTCATTGTCAGCGGCTGAACATGCCACCTGAACACCTGTACACACAGCACCTGATCACACAGGCTAAACGCCCGAGAACACCACCTGTACACATTGCGCCTGATCACACAGGCCAGATGTACCACCAGAGAGAACAGACTAAACCCATACAGTGGGCTAAATTCACCACTTGAATTTATAGCCGGAACACGTAGCTGAATGAACAATCAAAGACAGCTGAGCACACAAGGCAACAACAAAGCTGTTGATCGTGTTCTGGAGAGATTTCCTTCATCATGAAAGCAGACCTTCCCACCTCAGGGCAGTGCTGACTTCGGCCTGTTTTTGCACAGAGGTGCTGTTGTGCTGCAGAAGCCAGAGGCGGGAGCATGTCATAACCCTCTTCCGCCACCAGGGGGAGCAGAGGCCACACTGAGCTTGACCCGCTGTGAGCTCTGAGGAACGGTACTGCCTGCCGGTCTCCCTTTTCTTTCTCTTTCTGTCCACCTGTCTCCCTCTCTGTCCTCAGACTCTTCCTCTCTGCCCTTGTCTGTCGGCCTGCCTGTCTGGCACTGCCTGTGTAAACACCTGTCTCCATGTCTCTCCTGTTGACCCTGCAGTGACAGGCCTGTCACTCTCTTTCTTGGACAGATGATCTCCACGCCTCCGACCACGCCGCCTCCCATGCAGGACATCTTTCTGCCCCAGGATCCTCGGGGACCAGGGTGGCCAGAACACCCCCTCTCCGCCACCTTCAGGGGGCGCTACTTCTCCTGCCCCGCCGGCCCTCCGTCCTCTCCCTCTCCCTGCCCCTCCCCGCCACCCCCTCGAGTCTGCCCCGACCGAGCTGCTGTCTCCCTGCGGCCCCCTTCCGGCAGCCACCCTGACTGCCTGCGCAGACGCAGCTGGGAGCCCGGGTCAGGGCTGCAGGACAGCGCGCAGTACCAGCATCGCAGGTAGGGGGCAGCAGAGCTCTACTTTAAAACCCTGTAACCTGCTTGTTATGAGCAGCGCAGGCAAGTTACAGGATGCAGAGACATTGAAACAAGCTGGCTGAGAGGCTCTGGAGTGGCTGTTGCTGTTCCTGGGGTTGGGCTCAGTCTCCTGCCAGTGACAAGTGAGACATGCAGCTGTTTAAGGGGAGCTGCAGCCCCAGTTTTGCGGACCGGTTATTAAATCTCGGTAACAAAATGACTTCATTGACGTTATAGACATTTGTTTACAAACTACAGATTAAGAACAGAATCGTGAACTTTGTGAAAGTACTACCATGTTGTTGCAAACTTGCATTCGAGTTCCTATGAATTACGACGTGATGCGGCCCTTCCTGTTCACTAGTCCCGGTACTGATTAACGTACTGTGATGTACGAGCGAAAAAGGACAGGTTGAGCAGCAGACATTTCACTGCAGAAATGTTCCAAAGTGATCTGCAGGCACAGTTAACAAGTAAGTGTTTATCTGCACAACCGTCCCGAAGTCGAGAGCAATATTCCTGCTGGATGAGAAGATGTTGGATGTTTTCACAAGCTGCCTGTTCACAGTGTCACAGCGCTGCTTTACCTCACCTTGTTCTGAATCAGTTGTGGTGTAAATTGAAGGTTTTACAGGTTACTGTGAACATTTGACTTGTTTTGCGGTTTGAAATGCGCTCGTGCCTGCTGATCCTTTCTCACCCCGAGATATAAAAATAGCGCCGCGGTTCCCCTTGAGTTCACAAGCCCTGACAAGTCATCTCTCTCCCTGGGTCTATCTCTCTGCCCGAGACCGAAAGCAGCCCCC